TTTTTTAAATTTCGATTATTCCTGAAGTGAAAACAAAAAGCCATGCAGTAGTCATTTCTTTGTTTATTCAACGCAATGGATTTTAATCGAAATTATGTTATTGAATTTCGTTTTATGTTTTAAACAATATAAGTTTTATTACTGCTACAAGCTTATCTGGGCCAGTTAGAAGCGTTCCACGGTTAGTTTTGTAAGAAAATATATAAAACCTACATGGGCATTGAATGCCATATAATAAAAAAAACAATACAGTTAAAATTTAACAGTGGTAGAACCCGCTTTAACATGTTCGCACGAATTGGCTCGCCCGGTGAAATACCATGACCACACAGAAGACAGGCGTCAAGTGGAAGCAATTCCGCGTTTCGTCTGATGAGTGTGCGTCCCGGAGGCCTAATTTAGTCCTCTTTCCCTTCCCATCCTTTTCTTTATAAGGAAAGGATGAGAAGTGGAAGTGGTCTTTCCGGATGAGAGGATGTATGGAAAGGGAAGATATTTTCTTTATGTGCATCCTCTCCTCGTCGATTAAAGGTAGGCAACGCATGCAATTGCGTATGTCTATGGGCAACGGTCACTTCGCTATTTCAGCGATTTCAGGTGGCCGTTTGCCACCTTATGATATAAGAAAAAACCATCGAAAATCGAAATAATTCTTAATAGACTTTACTCAACCCATATCTAGTGAATTGTCAAACTAATCTATCTTAGACACACGATTTTTTTAAATTAAATATAAGCAGATTTTTTTTGTAAATTTACTAATATTTCTTTTACCATTCCAACTAAGCTCTATGCTTGTGCTAGGATATGATTTACGACACACGCGCGAGGCTTGCCCAGCGTGGGCAGAGCAGCGCGCCGCCGTGTCCTCGGTCCTTGGGACGGACCTCTCCCTGCCTGTCATGGCAGCTGCTATGGCAGGAAGGGAGGAGGTATGGAAGGCGGTCTCCACCTTCAGTGTCGAAGTCATGACACTGAAGGAAGCGGCGGAGCGGGCGCGGGAAGACGCCGTCGACTCGCTCCCGATCCGCCGCAGGAGACCGGGGCGGCGCCGTCGGGCGCACCTTGTGGCGCTGGACAGGGCGCCGCCGTGAGTGGGACCCGCGGGCGGCGAATCGGGGTTCGCCGCCTGCACCGCAAGGGTCTCGGGCCGTAGGACTCCCCACGTGTTCCGGGGAGTCCTCGGCGAAGGACGACGGCGCCTTCTTTTGAAGGCGTCGTCGCCGAAGGAGGGCCCGCCGCATAAAATGTGGCGGGCGATCCGCAGACGGGGCTGT